GGGGGGAAAAAGGAACAGATCAAGAGCGAGATTTGTGTAAATTTAAAAAGAGGGAAAAATCAAGAGAGAAAGTAATTTAACGACTTTTTAAGCCAGTGTTAAAGCGTATGAGATACCGCCCTGGCTCCATACAGATGACAGTAAAAATAAAAAAGGAATATGAAATGGAAAAGGTGTTCAAAATATCAAGAGATGTTGAGAAACCTTTTAAAAAGAAAAAGGTAAATAGGGTAATGGGAGAGAAGTGAGGGGAAGGGGAAACAGGAAAGGGAAAAAGGGAAGGGGGAAAAAGGGAAGGAGGAAAAGGGAAGGAGGAAAAAAGGAAGGGGAAAAGGGAAGGGGAAAAAGAGAGGGGAAAAGGGAGGGGGAAAAAGGGAAGGGGGAAAAAGAGAGGGGAAAAAGGGAGGGGGAAAAAGGGAGGGGAAAAAGGGAGGGGAAAAAAGGGAGGGGAAGAAAGGGAGGAGAAAAAAGGGAGGAGAAAAAAGGGAGGGGAAAAAGAGAGGGGAAAAAGAGAGGGGGAAAAGAGAGGGGAAAAAGGGAGGGGAAAAAGGGAGGGGAAAAAGGGAGGGGAAAAAAGGGAGGGGAAAAAGGGAGGGAAAAAAGGGAGGGGGAAAAAGGGAGGGGAAAAAAGGGAGGGGAAAAAGGGAGGGGAAAAGGGAGGGGAAATAAGGGAGGGGAAATAAGGGAGGGGAAAATAAGGGAGGGGAAAATAAGGGAGGGGAATAGAAGGGAGGAGACATAAGGAGAGAGAAAGAAAGAGAAAGGGAGATAGGAGGAGAGTGGAAGGGCCAAAGAGAGAAAGAGGGGATATACATGTAATAGAGAGTTTGAGAAAGAGATAAGGAGAGGGACATAATCATAATATGAACGTGATAGACAAATAATAGAATGAAAGAAAGAGAACAGGATTATTAACAGAAAAGGGAAGTGAGACAATGCTGAATGGGACCAGGGCAAATATAGACCATTGTTCCACGGCGTATATAATTAGCATTCTCTCCGCTCTATAACAATCGCTTTAAACTGTCAGTGATTTTATGCAGAGCAAGCATCTAGACATAATGTAAACAGTCTGATGGAAAATTCATCAAGCTCTCATCAAGTTTATGGATGACAATGAATTCATTATGGATAACTGCTAGCAAAAGCTATTAGCTATGTTCAAATGGCACCATGGTAGTTTAAAATTAAACTTTGCGAAGCGTCAAAATTATAAACAACGATCCACTATTTAAAGGGATAGTTGAGTTTTGTTGCAGAGGGCGCTACAGAAAATATTTTTTTTGTGAGAAAATGAAAAACTGAGTGTCAAATTTTGAAAGTCCATACAATTCAAATGACAAAATCATTTTTGTTTGATCTGAATTGGTTCAGAGACGGCTGAAATATCCATAAATATATTCCATTTCTAATATTTGTGTACCACCACAAGTATTACATAATTTGAAAAAGCCGTTGAAAAAATGAAGTAGCGCCTTTTACGTTTTATTCCAGCCAATGCAGATGTAGGCTTTTTGTTGGCTTTTTTATGTTAGTTATAATACGCACAACCAGCCGGCCCATGTATTGTTATTATCAATTAATTAATTAATTAACGGTCACCATATTTTTTTTTGAAAGTAGAGCTGAATTGGTGTGATCCTATTGGCTAAATTTCACACATTTTGGGGTCTAAAATTACCTTCATTGCAATTTTAGGTCCTAAAAGGGTACTAGAAATGTCATAAATAAGAATAAGTGCAATAACCATGCGCTTTGAAGACATTTGCGATCTGATACAAGAACTCAACTATCCCTTTAAACCATGACAAAGGTTCACAGGAGTCTGAAACAAGTATTCAAAGTCAAATACAAGCTTGGGGAAGCATTCATTTTAACTAAAAGATGGTTTAACCTCAGGATTTACTTTATTTGCATTCGCATAGCACATTACTTTGCGTGAGGACCCCCCACTGCTCGTGGTTATCGTGTTTACTCAAGATCTGTCATATTTGGTACCTTCAAATAAATTTGAATATTTGTAACCATGAGTGCAAGTGCATTTGCATTGGTTGATATTAATTAAATACAAGATAACTTCTAAGTTCATGACCACAACCTTATCTTCAAGTTAAAGGACTGTCTGTGTGAACCTTACAACTATTGATGCTTTCATCTTTTTCTCCTCTTTTTGATTTCTAAAGACAAAAAAAATTCACCTCATTTTGGAATATTTGAAGGGTTTACTAACAGGTGGATAACCATTTGGTCTAAAACCAGTTCTAATAGTCATTTGATGATTATTATCATTCATGATTCAATGATTATTGAATCAAGGATAGAAGAAAAAATGGGCATTAATTAGACAAACTGGGAATTAGACCAAATGAATATTAGCCTAAATGGTAATTAATAATTATACAAAATGGTAAGTAGACGAAAAGATTATTAGACCATGTGTATAGTAGACGGGCTGGGAATAGACCAAATGGGAATAGACCGATTGGGAAGTAGACAAACCCACTGTAGACCAAACAGCGATAAACCAACTAATAGACACTGTCTGATGATTACCGCTCAAAGACTGTATTGAAACGAAAGCAAGTTTATCAAAACTCTCCAACGTGATGACAATTCTCACTTCAGAAGAATATTTTGAAAAGCAATGTCAATGAATGACAATAAATGACAAAGACAACTTTCAATTGGACTGATAGCTTCACAATATCTAAAGAATTATTAGCAACTTCAAAGTAATTGTCTTTTTGTAGTTTTGAGTATTCTTGACACAATGGGATAATTTTACTTGTTCTATGATGGACTAAAGCCACATTTTATCTTGAATTGTTTCAAAAGTAATACATTTTATCGAAGCTCTCAATTAGACAATTGTTTCATAACCAGAACATACATGGGCCATTCATGTAGTTCTAAGTGGCCTTCATCTTTTATTTTCAATTGTTTAATTTGAGTTTAAACTATTCATTATTTTCTTAATTAAAAAACAGAAATCTGTCAAAAAAAAGAGGTTTCTATACATGAATAACAAGCTTTATTTCCCTCAAAACTCAATTGTTTAAATGTCATCCCTCTATTAAGTGAAGTTCTTTATCAATTGATGATTTTTTGTTTTTCATTTTCACATATGTTGTGTAAAGAGTTGGAAAGTTTAACCCATCTAGTTTTCTTTATTCCTTACAGAAAAAGGATTCATTTTTCTGTCATTTGAAAGATTCACATGTTGTTCACATTCGCATGGTGCCCTGGAGCTGTTTAATGATACAGCAAAGTTTTTCATCAAAGAATGCCCTTGAAACTCAATTGTACTCCCCGGGTTCACCCACCCACAATGGTAGAGAAACAGAGAGGGCACGAAAATAGGCCAATTGTTTCACTGGCATCCTCACTTTATGTTATTTTGAGTAAACGTATATCTCTCTCTCTCTCTCTCTCTCCCTCATCTCTGTGTCTGTCTGTCTCTCTCTCTCTCTTTCTCTCTATATATATATCTTTCTCTATATCTCTCTCTCTCTCCCTCTTCTCTCTCCCTCTCTCCCTCCCTCTCTCCCTCTCTCTCTCTCTCTCTCTCTCTCTCTCTCTCTTTCTCTCTCTTCAGTCTAATTCAGGCCACCTTCCTCGCTGTTAGTCTGCAGGTTCAGACTTTAATTTGACACTTTTGTGTTTCTCCTGAAAAGTCTTGAGCTAAGCCTAATGTTATCAGTCACTAGTTGCTATGCCAGGCGCAGCTCACACCCACAATACAGGGCCTTTGGACTGCAGTCCATGCATAGTATCCTAAGCTCAGACTCTCCGTAACGCGTTCCAACTTAAAATAGTTTACGACTGAAAAGAGTTTGTGCCTGCAAACTGATTTCAAGCCCCGTACTCCTGGCTGCCACACAGCCTTTGTCTCCGTGGTAGTGAAAAGAAGGAAAAAACATACGATTCAGATCAATCGGCCAAGTTGGTTGGGAGCAATCACGGACGGAGGGAAGCCTTCCGTCTGTAATAACTTCCTAGAGTAAACACTCATCCCTTTCAACATCTGACTGAGTTTCATCAATTGGCTTTGCCACGCTTGGTTATGTCGTTTTTGTCCAAACGTGGCCGGGTTCCCACAAACGTCGTCGCCATGGTGATAAGTAACTGTTATTTCTCAAGTTTCGTGTATGGCGTTTATGCTGCCCAACCCCTTAGATATGGCATGTGAAATGATTGGCAAAATTAATCTTCATGTACACCTGTACATGTACATAACGTTGGAAATTTATTCTAGGACTTCTTATATTACTATGCATATAATCTGAAATCGAACTGTATATTCACCGATTTTTAAGTCTTTAAGTCTTCATTTTCAAAGATAACCTAGTTGGGAATTTGTTGAAGGACTCCTTATAATACTGTGCATGTAATCTGAATTGAAATGTATTTTTACTGTTTAAGTTTTTATGTCTTCATTTGAATACCCATTTTGGCCGTTTCCACAATAAATTGGTGCTTTAAACCATGATTAAGGATTAAGCATTGTGTCGAAAGCATTCTTTACATCTTCTTTTTCATTGTTTATACCATCATTTATTTTATTTTTATTTCATTTGAGATTGCCTAAAGAGAATATCACTCATGTCTCAAGAGGTGATTGACTGAAAAATATTTCTTATATAAACATCGTCCTCTTCAACAGGTTGAAGATATGTTTCATAAAATCTTAGTTGCTCTCTTAACAATTACTTTAGACATTCTTTTTGTGAAAGGCCCTCATGCTTCTCTCAATGTTTCATCGCAAATTGTCTGAATTCTGACGTCAACATTCCCTTTGCAAACTATCACAAACGTGAGAAATCATTTGATGAATTGTTGTTGGAGTTGTATGTTTGTTTGTTTGTTTAATGCAGCATGTTGTGTTGTTGTGGACTTGAGTGATGTATTAATGATACTTGACAGAGACAAACCGGTAACACGTGCTGTGCAGCCACATGACATTCTGTGGACCATTCCATTGTGCAGGGAGGGGTGCTTACCTGTTTTCTTGTTCTCGTCTTCCCCGTTCTGAGTTTGATGTACCTTGCGATGAGTTCATTACGACCTAGAAAGAAAAATGTGAAGAAACATTAGAATTACAAATATATATGCAAAAAATTGTGATCTCACAAAACAAACCTGGGAGAGAGAGAGAGAAGAAAAACGTTTTGTTTTATAAGTCAGATGAAAATTTTGAATGCAAAAGAACATTTGTTCATATTACAAATCTAGGTTCAGTGTTACTTCATCTACATGTTACTATAGCAACCTCAATCTGTCAATCCGTCATCTCAAAGAAGGTAAAAAAAGGGGAAACCGAGAGGTATTTTGTTTTATTTGGAGGTTTTTTATCTTTCACTTTGCAGGTGTATGTCTGTACATGTATGTCTACATTGTATTTTGTCTCGCATACTGAGATTCAGGTGAATTGTTGTACCACACGTGGGGGCCAAAAATAATCCAGGTAAAAAGGATTTCTAAAAGTTTCATGTTATTGAATGTCATGGAGAAAAATTTGCAGAACTCTCTTTCTTTCTTCTGAAGAAGAACAACGTAAACCTCAGCAACTGCAGTAATACAAAAGATATAACACAGATTGGTATTTATAATATCTATACCCCCTTTGAAGTATAACTATTGGATTAGTTCTGCCATGGGATTACTTTTTGTCTCTCTCTCATTCTTTCTCTTTCTCTCACTCTCTCTCTCTCTATCTTTCTATTTCTCTTTCTCTTTCTCTTTCTCCTTTTTTCTCTTTCTCCCTCTTTCTTTCTCTTTCTCTTTCTCTCTCTCTCTCTCTCTATATTTCTCTTTCTCTTTCTCTTTTTTATCTTTCTCTCTTTTTTTCTTTCTCTTTCTCTTTCTCTTTCTTTCTTCTCTCTTCTCTCTCTCTCTCTCTCTCTCTCTCTCTCTCTCTTCTCTCTCTTTCTTTCTCTCTCTCTCTCTCTCTCTTCTTTCTCTCTCTTTCCCCTCTCTTCTTTCTTTGCTCAAAATATTTTAAAATCTGGTAATACTATCACCTCAGGACAGGGTCAAATAAAAAATAAATTCAATAGGCCATTTTCGTAATGTAACCAAATTTAATGCATAGGTCTTTGTGAAGTGCCTCAATACAAACTATTTCATTCACCTGATAAGAATAATAGTATTTTAATAGACAGAATCCTAACTGCATACATTAGTTGTTGCCAGGTTGGACAAACATTATGGCTTGACCTACCTAGCAACACTTGATATATGCAGTTGCATTCTGACTATTGAAATACTATTATTCCTATCAGGTGAATGAAATAATTTGTATTGAGGCACTTCACAAAGACCTATGCATTAAATTTGGTTACATTACGAAAATGGCCTATTCCCCTGTCTGTTTTATTTTCCAAGTCTGGTTGGAAGCAGGCTAAATTTATCTGGGAGAAACTGCATAAATGTACATGTTCTGCCCCCAGGCTACCCCCATACATGTTCATCTGTATGTATGAGGGTACATGTACATGTAGCTTGCATGCATATGAAATCGATATCAAATAAATTCAATGTTAACATTCGTTTGGGTGAACTCATGAACTCATCCATCTTTCTAAAGTACAATGTGTACTCTGACAATAATGAACCTGACTGCAAAAAAGTAGGAAAACATATTTTGACTACCCACGACTTCTCAGCTTTATAAAGCAGACTTGATGACGAGACTAGAATAAATATGCAAAGATTGTAATTCAAACAAGACTCTAAAACAAAATGCCAAGAGAACAAAAAGTTCTTTTGCGCCTCTTCAGAAACTTCTAAAACCAGCATCTCTCAACACGAGATTTAATTTCATCTCTCCCCGTTCTCTTTCTCATATATCTATTGTCTCTGTCCACAAATGCCTCCGTCGTGCGGCAGCCCAAATAAAAAGAGAAGACGAAATAAACAAGAGGCCCCATCGTGGGAAATCTGGCCCATTGTTAAATTCCAGAGACCTGCAAAAATGTGTATGCTAGCAGTCGAGGTATTGCAAGAATTTGGAACGGAGCGGTTGCTTCTGAAATCTGGAGAAAAGAAGCAGGATCGGGGAGATACTGGGCATTCTTGAGTGGTGCCCGAGCTATCTCGTTTCTGGGTTGTGCGTTCGGCGATACCCTCGGTTTTCTGGCTGCGTCCCTCCCCCCACCCCCAGAGGAGCGAGAGAAGTAGGCCGTATCAATAATGGATTGAGACAAATGGGGAAATAGACATGGAGATTGAGAGGAGAGCTCTCCAGCTCTCGGAGGTAAGGTCAGGTCTTAGTCTGAAGAAGCTAAACCCGTATGGATTAGAATCGCGCCTGTGTTTTCAAATACATGTAGTATAAGGAATTGGGAAATACACAGGGAGAGGGGGTAGAGAGAGAGAGAGAGAGAGAGAAAGAGAGAGAGAGAGAGAGAGAGAGAGAGAGAAAGAGAAAAGGGAATGGAGAGATAGAGTAGGAGATAGAGAAAGAGAAAGAGAGAGAGAGATAGAAGGGGATAGAGAGATATAGAAGGGAGAGATTGGGAGAGAACTCTCGGAGGTAAGGTCAGGTCTTAGTCTGAAGAAGCTAAACCCGTACAGTATGGATTATAATTGCTCCTGTGTTTTTCAATAGTACCAGGAATTGTGAAATACACAGGGAGAGATAGGGGGTAGAGAGAGAAATAGAGAGAGTAGGATAGAGAGATGGAGAGAAGAGGATAGAGAGAGAAATGCATGCCTGTAGCTGACTATGTGATGCTAATGAAGTTGGTAACTTGTGGAGAAAATGTGCAATACCATCATTTGGATTGAAATTTAAAGAAAACTTTAAATTTACAACTTAACTTTTTACAATCGATCTCCATATCATTTGATTTCAGTTGAGATTTGAGAATGAATTACATGTGATTTGGCAAACAGAATGGTTTTGTGATAAAAATGATGACAACCACTTATCAGGTGTAGACATACGGTGTAGACATACTGTACAGTGTAGACACGGTGTAGACATGGTGTAGAACTGCCAAAGTAACAAGCGTTCAAGCATATAGGGTGGAGAGTGGCAAATGAAGATTAACGTCTTGACAATGAACATTAGTGCCATGGCGGGACTTGAACCCTGTACCTTGTGATCTGCAGTCGGGTGACTTATCCACTAGACCACAACACCTTTATAATTCATATTAATTCATAACGATGATGATAATGGTAATGATAACGATGATGATAATGATGATGAAGATGATGATGCCAGTGATAAATTACAATGACAAAGACAATGATGATTTGACGACAGTGTGTCCACATCTAACTTCCACCTGTAATCTATCGAACACCATGCCCCAGATACATGCATTCCTATCGGAATAGTTTTAGCAGGTTAATGTGAACATGTGGGTCAATGGAAGCTTCAGCCTGTTTACTTCTCGTCTTCATGCAAGGTATCGAGGGAATTGACCCGACATGGCCCCCTGTCTTATATCTGTATCAACTAGCTGCATTCACACACAAAATATCAGCAGGGGTCATGCCCCGTTTTATGTCTGTATCAACTGGTTGCATTCACACACAAAATCTCTGCAGGGCTCATGCCATGTCTTATATCTGTATCAACTGGCTGCATTCACACACAAAATCTCTGCAGGGCTCATGCCATGTCTTATATCTGTATCAACTAGCTGCATTCACACACAAAATATCAGCAGGGGTCATGCCCCGTCTTATATCTGTATCAAATGGCTGCATTCACACACAAAATATCAGCAGGGGTCATGCCCTGTCTTATATCTGTATCAACTAGCTGCATTCACACACAAAATCTCTGCAGGGCTCATGCCATGTCTTATATCTGTATCAACTGGCTGCATTCACACACAAAATCTCTGCAGGGCTCATGCCATGTCTTATATCTGTATCAACTGGCTGCATTCACACACAAAATCTCTGCAGGGCTCATGCCATGTCTTATATCTGTATCAACTGGCTGCATTCACACACAAAATATCAGCAGGGGCCATGCCCCGTCTTATCAACTAGCTGCATTCACACACAAAATCTCGGCATGAAGTTCATGAAACTTGCAGAAGAAAAAGGGGGGGACAAGGGCTGTCTTCACCGAAAGTTGGCGCAATTGAAAAAACATTACAGCAGTGAGAACAATGTCAAGATACCCTGCCTTTAAAATGAATCCTGTCGCCTCCCCCCCCCCCCCCCCCCCCCCCCCCCACTTACAGTATTTAAAAAAAAGTGAAAAAACTAGGCAAAAAAGGGAAAACTTTCCTATACCAGGCAGTAGTAGCAGTCAATGAAAGTTCATTCTTGTTTACTCACGATTTCTAAACAATGGATCAGGGGGAATTAACCTCAAATGACCTCACACCCCCCCCCCCCCCTCACCATCTGTGGTCTTACCCTCACAGACACAGTTCACAAAACAATGCTCAAATACCCTTGCATGCCTTTAAAAAGAAACTGAAATTTCTATTAATAACCATTCTACGACATTACCATAAAAACAACTTTCTATACTGTTTCCTCCAATTACAAACTTTCAGAGGGTGTACCTGTATACATGTATATAATTTAATATATTCATGGGGAAATGCTGTTGTGTAGCAATGGCTTTTCATCCGAATCTGGCAAGAGTGGGGATAACGCAGAATTGGGACAAGATGAGGGTTTTCTCGTTAAAAACTCTCAAATACTTGGATTAAAGTCAATCGATTCTCTGCTTAGACACTTCAAGCTTGTTAGGCTTGAAATGATGCACCAGGATCACGCCAGGGGATTCCTTCTCAGAACACCCGTACCCGTATCTTTTGCAGACGAGAAAAAACTTTGTACAGATGAGAAAGAAGAGTTTGGTCGAGAAAAAAATACAAATGGGGTAGAAGTGAAACAAACAGCGTAATGCGAGACGGCGAGCATCGCCATATCCCGATCAGGAGCAGAATAAAGATGGTGATTTTGACACCATTTGTCTCACTTATGCAAATCCAAGCCATGTGGAGCGGGAGCGTTGGGAGCAGGGCAAGAGTGGTGGCTCCCGGGGTTAGTGGAGGGGGGCGGAGATGTCTGGCAAGCCCGAGG